GACCACCTGATGGAATGGTCAGCCTGCCTCGAGCTGATAGGACTCCAACAGTAACTCTGCCATTCATTAAAACCAAGAGCATCACTGGTCAGAATTTGGCATAAACAACATGAACGCACAGATCCATCCAGCCTCGTATCAACAGTTCTGGTTGTCGGTGGTGCTACAGTGATGTGTGGGGACATTTTCTTGGCACACTCTGAGCCCTTTAGTATACCATCGTATAAATGCTTCAGCCTATTACTAAAGTCCATCGTTTTACCCACGGTGCACCCATCTTGGTTCCAGCAGGAAAAGCATCATGTCACAAGGCTCAGATCATTTCAAGCTGTTTTCCTGAAAACAACGATGAGTTCATTGATTACATTTCACTGTGTGTTATACTTGTATAACTATGCATGTGACAAATAAAGAACCTTGAACCTTCATTGTGCTTAAATAGCCTCTGCAGTCACCAGATCTCAATCTTTGTGGAACGGTAAAAACACGTGAAAGATGTGCACCTGAGAAATCGCAGGAACTGCACAATGCTATCTGGTCAAAATCTCTGAATTTTTCCAGCACCTTGCGAAGAATTAGGGCAGGTTCTGGAAGCAAACGTGGGTTTAACTTGAGACTAACATGATGTACATAATAAAGTGTCCAGTAAGTGTACTGCTTGTTCCCCTGTTTTAATGGTGGCCTTGAGAAGAGTATGTTTCTGAATCTTTTTCAGTCTTTTTCTTTTTCAGTTTGATGACCCTGAGTCAAAACAGTAAGGTCCATTCACCAAAATGCTGACTGATATATGCTATTTTAAATGAACGACAGTGTTTCTGTGGTGTTTCTGCTGTAACCAGGGCGAAGAATTAAAAAATGGCTGTGACTGAGTTAACTGCCACCATGCTTAACCCTCTTTGCCTCTTCAGCTGCACTTGGGAGTCCCACGTGACCCAGCTAATGACTGTAATATCTCTGGCTTCAGCGCTGCTCTTTTTTGGCTTTGAGGATGGATGGTACAGTTTCAGGGTTGGCCACAGAGCTGTATCACTTGTGGATGAATGAGTGTGAGGACACCTACGCTGTCTGGGGAAGATTATTGGCTCATGATTGCTGGCTCAGGACACACTCATCGATCTGGAAAGACAGGGGCTGCAAGAGAAAAAAGCCCAATAGCAAAGTGACGACAATAAAAGGACAGCTTCATGAATAATAATGAGCATTGTACCGAGGGTTTGGAGACGCTATTGTTACTTACAAGGCTCTACTGAGTGCAGTGATGCTTAAAATCCCAGACAAATTCATCTCTGCAATAAACAGTTCATCTGTGGGTGCTCCATGAAAATAAAAGACGAGCGGGAATTGCGAGAAGAGAAAAGCTTCAAAAAGCAGTTAATCCACAAATCGAATATGCTTGTTTTTTTTGTTTGTTTGTTTTTTCACTGGTGTGTAGTGCGGTTTAATATATTTAGTTTTGGAGACATCCTCTGTAGTGAGTCTATTTTTCTTGTCTTGAATATAATGGGACCAGATGAAACGTGTCTTCTGGTGCTTAAAAATACAATTGAAAAAATAAACAGCGATACCTCTTTCAAGAAATCCTGACCCAGTTACAAAGCAAGTTTTACAGAACTAAAAAATGCAAAACTTGTTTCAGGAAGGAACTTTGTTTGCACAGGGGCCTGATTTATTATATTTTTTGTTCTTTTATTGATTAAATATTAATTATGTAGGAGGTTATTTGCCTAAAATTATTAGAACTCCACTGACTTATCTCATTTGTAAAATCTCTGTCATGATGATCTCACACTGCTTCAGTAATGTTGAGGTCCGGGCTCCAGGGAGGCTAATTTATGAGTGGTTTTTTTTTCTATCCTAATATGCGATTGTTTCATATGTCGGTGTTTAGAGTCGTAACGAACATAAAACATTCATCTGACAATAGTCAAGTGCAAAAGCGGAATGAAAATGAATTAAAATCAGCCACTGACCAACGGAAACCTTTGAAAGGCCTTTACAAATCCTAAAGAACTATTCTCAAGCTCACTTGGAAGGAAAAAGGTGAAGTAGTGAGAGTGGTTTGAGACTTTTGCACAGTGATGTATAATACTTGATGTTCATTTTACTGATACATTGAGCCATTCAGGGTAAAACTACGGTGGCCCTGAAAGGCCAAAAAGACTGCAACTTAAGAAAACACCAGCAATAAGAAAAACGCTGGGAAAGCAAACAAAACACAAAAGAAATATGAAAAACAACAACGGAAATAGGAAAAAACACAAGGGAAGTGTTTCTGGGGAGACAATAACCCAATGATCAGTGACAGGAACCTAAAACATGGTAGGTGTGTTTTATCATAATTCATATAATACTGATGATGGATTTTTAGGCTAATAGTTAGGCTAACACACTTACCTCTCATCTTTTCTTTCCTCACAAAACCGATAGATCCTCCACTTCTTTTAAGTGTCTCCCAGCGCAATTCTTAGCATATTTTGGTTCCTGCAACTGGTCCGTCGGGTTATTGTCTCCCCAGAAACACTTCCCTTGTGCTTTTGGAAATCTGTTTTTCCTGTTTTCGTTTTTCTCGTTTCTGTTTTTTCCTGTTTCCGTTGTGTTTTGTGTGCTTTTGCAGCGTTTTTCTTATTGCTGGTGTTTTCTTAAGTTGCAGTCCGTTTAGCCTCTCAAGGCCACCGTATAAAACAGACAATAAAACAGAGCATGCTTTAGGGTGTGGGTACCAGAGATGGGTAATCCGATTACTTTTTTCAAGTAACGAGTAAAGTTAGGGATTACTATTGCAAAAAACTAATTAGATTACTGTTACTTTCTCATAAGCACGCTGCATTACTAAACTTTGATTTTGTTTGTGAAAGTGTCTCATGACAATGATGTATGAGCGTGCGACGTCCGTGGCAGTAACAGACGTGTGTAGATCAAAAATAGATAATATGGAGTGCGGGAGAGAGTACGACCATGCAGTGTTTAAAGCTTGGAAGTACTGACATTGCTTTGAGTTTGATTCCATACACTCTACATGGGAAGAAAACTTCTTTCTACAGCGAAAAATTAAACTTCAAATCTGGCAAGCACCTAGCAATCCACCATGGGACTGTGAAACTCACAGAGAAACCCCCGGATCCCCCCACTGACATGACTGCTGTAGCACCTGGCAAACCTCCACAGGCCCCACTCCTGCTAAACATGTGAAAATAGATTTAAGAGCGACAGGACTTAGTGCCGCTGAATCTTTGATTTTATTTATTTATTGTTGTGTTTTGCTTCCGTCTATTTGAAAGAGTGTAAACACAAAAAAATATTTTATTTTATATGCTGGAATATGCAGAAAATACGTTTAAATGTTAAACAAATTTCTTCAAGTCAAAGACTGTTGCTTACAGTTTAAGTTTCGCTTCATGCAATGTGCATAAAGTTAAAACATTAAAATTCATAAAACAATATTTAAAAAGAGACATTTGATTCAATTTTATATGAGGGATTATGCAGAAAAATTGAATTGGTCTTTATTACGTATTCAGGTTGTGTGTCATGTTTTTTAAAAAGTACTCTAAGTAATAAATTAACTAATTACTTTTGAAAACAGGTAATTAGTAAAGTAACAGGATTACTTTCTTGGAGAAGTAATTAGTAATTAGTAACCAGTGTTTGTCAAGTTTCTTGAAAATAGAAATTGGTTACTAATTACTGATTACTTCTAAAGTAATCCCATTACTTTACTCATTACTTGAAAAAAATAATCGGATTACAGTAACGCGTTAAACGTTACTGGCCATCTCTGTTAGTAACTAATTACTATTTTCAAGTAACTTGACCAACACTGGTGGCTACCTTTCCACACGTTGCTAACATATGAGCATTCAGTGTTTGTCAGTGAGATTCAGACATGTGGTAAATTCTGGCAACAAAAAAACAACATAACAAGATGACAACAGCCCAAAATGCCAGAGACCACAAACCAATGGGTCCATGTTTGTTTAGCCTATTTCACCTTGTCAGATCTGCCCAAAATATAAGCTGCTTTGCCGTCCTTCTGGTCACTAATTGCGGCTGTGATGAACAGAATAAACCAAATCAATAAGACCTGAAAATAGCAGCTGGGATAATAAACTCATCAGGAAAGTGTTTAATGAGGTCAGAGTTCAAGAGAGCTGGTTTTCCACACATTTCTTTATAACAGGATTTCATCTTTTGCAGACAAAGACACCCCCCCCCCCCCCACACACACACACACACACACACACACAATACTGGCCCACCATCTTTGTTCACAACCTGTGGGAAAAATAAAAATAACTTCCAACATAAGAGAGAAAAACGGATGACTGTGATTGTAGATAAGAGCAATAAAACCTATTTATTTAATCTTGAGATGATAATAAGTTTTATTTATTATAATAATTGGAGATGTATTTATTTTTTCCGTGACCTATAATAAACTATTTGCATAACTCAATGCCGACCTAAGTGTTTGCTAATGTTATACAAACACCGAGCTGCACAAAGGAAATGCTGGCACAAAACAAGCGCGTGAGGGGCTCCGACTGCGCTGCGGTCAGTGAAAGAGAAAGTTCGCTTTCTGCTCTCGTGAGTCTCAAGAAAATGGCACACTGAAATTAACTGCAGGGGATTTATTCTTTTTTGTGTGTGGCGGTGGGTGGGTGGTTGTTTTAACACCGGTTCCTCTAGCAAGTATCTATGCGTGACATTACCTGTGTCCTAGCTTTTCATGACATTTTAGCAGGCTCGGTCCTGCTTTTGGCATCAGGTGCGCGCTCAGTGCTGACTAAACTTTTAATAATACATCCCAGTCTCACATCGTTGCGCCGAGAAATCCACCCGCTCTTCAAGAAAGAAAAAAGAAGCCGATGCTTTCCTCTTCGTCCATCCTCAGATGGAGCATTGTTTACCGGTGAGACAGCTGACTGTCAGATGTATATGGAAGTAACGTTGGTGACGTCAGGAGCAAAGAGCAGCAGGCGGAGAGCGGAGAGAGAGGAGGGAGGGGGGAGGGAGCGAGACGCAACCTGTGCCAGTGCGCATCTTTTCCAAAACTTGTCCGGAGCTGTCAAAGAGCAGGGAACGGATCCGAACGCGCCATGAGTAACAAATCTTTAAACCTGAACACCAGCCCGCCTCGGGCTGGCGGCACCGTGGACCACGAACTCGTCATCACTTCCACTTTCGGGACGCTCCTCTCCGTTGTCTACATCATCGGGGTCTCGGGGAACGTGTACACGCTGGTGGTGATGTGCCACTCGATCCGGTTCGCCACCTCCATGTACATCTCCATCATCAACCTGGCTCTCGCGGACCTGCTCTACCTCTCCACCATCCCTTTCGTGGTGTCCACCTACTTCCTGAAGGACTGGTACTTCGGAGACGTGGGCTGCCGCATCCTGCTCAGCTTGGACCTTCTCACCATGCACGCCAGCATCTTCACCCTGACCGTAATGTGCACGGAGCGCTATCTGGCCGTCACCAAGCCGCTGGACACGGTCAGGCGCTCTAAGAGTTACCGCAAAGCTCTGGCGTGGGGCGTGTGGCTGCTGTCGCTGGTGCTCACCGTGCCCATGATGGTAATGGTCGCTCAGACAACTAAAAGCACGCCGGACGGGGGTGTGAAGAGGATGTGCGCGCCCACATGGGCTCCACTGGCTTATAAAGTTTACGTAACGGTCCTGTTTGGCACCAGCATCATGGCCCCGGGGCTCATCATCGGGTACCTGTACGTCAAGTTAGCCCGCACTTATTTAGAGTCCCAGCGCAACTCTGTGATCAGCAAAGGCGGCAAAAGGTCACCGAAGCAGAAAGTGCTGATCATGATTTTCACCATCGTGCTGGTGTTCTGGGCGTGCTTCCTGCCTTTCTGGATCTGGCAGCTGCTGCCTCTGTACCACACCAAGCCGCTGAGCCTGGCCTCGCAGACGCACACGTGCATCAACTACCTTGTCGCGAGCCTCACATACAGCAACAGCTGCATCAACCCTTTCCTCTATACGCTGCTCACCAAGAACTACAGGGAGTACCTGAAGAACAGGCACAGGAGCTTCTACAAGTACACGTCGTCGTTTAAGAAGCGGCCGCCCAGCCTCTACTCGTGGGGCAAGTCGGCGTCCTCCAGCAATCAGTTCGAGTTCAACTCCGAGACGCTGGTCATGGGGTCACTGAAGTGAGGTGAAAGCGTCTGGAGCCGGAGCAGCGACAGGTAGGCGGTGATGTCTCCGTTACGCATAAAGCAGGAAGCAGCCAAGTTTGTTTTCTGTCATTTTAAAGTGCGGCTGTTCTTTGGTCACACATATGTTGTTTGTTATTTTATTCTGTACATGATGGACAGCCCACGGAGCCACTCTCTCTCTCTCCCCCTCTGCTGCGCTCCTGCAGCTCAGCCTCAGTGGAAGAACTCTTCCTGCGGTGCTGTGTTGCAGTACAAGGCCGCGGCGGTAATTAGAGAAGCTGAAGCACCTCTTAAACGCAGAAGTTATTTTAAGAAGCACATTTGAATGTTTAATTTAAGGGTGTTTTAATCTGACATTACATTATTTGTATTAGAGCAGTTAAATAAAGGGGGCAGTCAGAATTTATGCTATTGCTGGATTAACCTCCTACTGACACGCCTACACTACAAATCAGGGACGTGCCCGAGTTTACAGGTCTGTGCGTTGGGATTATTTTAGGATCATTTGATTTGGTAATCTGAACCTCTGTAAACCACAAAATAAAACAGCCCCTACCAAGGACCCATTTTACAAACGGAATAAGTCAGCGGAGTTCTGATGCCTTAAAGTAACCTCATAGTCCCGAAATACATTCACATGTAATCAAATTCCCACACAGTAAATAAAAAAAAACGAATAACAATAAAAATAATCTGATTAGGGCATAGATTTTTTTGTCCCACCTTCTGCAAAGGTTATGTTTGACTGAGGAAAACATGTAGTGAACCTGTAGGTAGATGGAATTCCAAAGCCCCACTTTCACTACATATTACTGATACATACACGTCTCAATAATATGCACCACTGTAGCAGAATATTAACTTTTAGAAGGACCAGAGGTTTACAAGCTCTATATTAGTTTATGCTGAGCACATGTAAAGTTGGTCGTCATATTTCTTCAAGCTTTTCTTGTTTGAAGTAACTGATATAGATGTTACTGTGTTATTCCTTCATAGAGGTACTGGACTGCTCTAACAAGTATATACTCTCACCACTACTACATCTGACATCCAATATTATATTTGCATATGCACAGAGAGAATGTTTGAACTACGTTGGAATGAGAAAACTGATTTTTTTTTTGTTGTTGTTGTTATTGTTGTTTATTTCTTTTGTTTTTAGTTTATAGCATTGCATCTCACAAACTGGTCAAGGACTTAAACTCATTGCTGCTCAGCTATGATGCTACTCTGCTGCATGCGCTGCAGATAGTGAAAAAAGGATCATAAACAGCTGAGTTAAAGCCATTCTGGTGGGCATACTATGCGATGATCACATTTCTTAATTACCCTCCATGTAAGGATAATAAATGTTTCACATTTGCAGTTTTCTGACAAAAAATAAATTAAAAAAACAAATTTATAGGCATATAATATGTCAGGCCACTATGAGCTGATCTGATCCTTAGCAGGTCTTAAAACCAGGTAAATACAACCTCAGATGAAAAACAAAACATGAAATATTACACTGCATCATATTTTTTAACCCAAAATGCAGAAACTGCTGTCATAGGAATAAAGAGGGTCAGTACTGCAGCAGGCAGGTGCTGCTAATTAAATACACTTAACTTACTGGTCATCAGCAAGTGTGAGTGCCTCTATAAAAGCAGAATTTGGGGCAGTTTGGTGATCTGGAATATTGAGGTGTGTTAACACAATATCAAGCAGGAAACAAAACACACCAGCAACAATCTTAAAGAAGCAACTGTTGCCCATCTATCTGTGGAAAGTCGAAAACACTCAAGACAGCTGCTAATCTTCAGAGGAGTGGTTCCAGGAAATCCAAAGAACAAAGAGCTACATCTCCAACTCTAAAAGCCTCAGTTAGCATGTTAAATGTTAAAGTTAAAGACGGCACAATATTTTTTTAAAAAAAGACTCAATAATTACGGCTTACATGGAAGGATTGTCAGGATAAAGTCTCTTCTTTCTAAAAAGAACATTGCAGCACAGTCCAGGTTTACAAAGTTGTATCTGAACAAACAGCAAGACTTCTAGAACAATGTCCTTTGGACAGATGAGACCAGAGTGGTGACGTTTGACCATAATTTACAGAACCATGTTTGATAAAAAGGGTGGAGGGGTGATGAGCCTACATCTAAACAGGTGAATTGACCTCGATGTGTTGTGTGACAGCCATAATAAGAGCTGGTCAAATTCTCTGAAAACAAAGGAAGGTGCTTTAGTATTTCCTTTCTTACCTCCTTTAGTAGAAGACACTGGAACATCCCTTAGGAGAGAAAAGGAGATAACTTCTTCTTCAAAGTAAGACAGCATCCGACTGTCACTAAAACAGCAGATCAACATAACTGATAAGCGACATGTTTCACATTGTAAAATGCTGCTTTTTTCCAGTTTTAACCCACAGGTGAACGAGGAGTATTGCACTACTCCACTAAAACCTGCTAGATTTGAATTTGTTCCCTTGTGTGAAGCACTTTGTAAAGCGGATTTTAAAAAAGTGTTCTACAAATGAATATAATTACCCACATTAAAACGATCAAGCTGAAGTGGACCTAATTTGTGTTAATTGTGTCCTCATTCTGAGTTGCTGTATTATCAGCTTTTAGAACTCATTAATTGATTTTACTTCAGAGATGCTAAAAACCTTAATAAAGGAAAAGTGAAAATAAGGGGATCATCTCTTTAGTGGGGAAAAAAACATCTGATTGGATAGCAGCACGAGTATCTGTTAAAACAGCTATTTAATTTGAGTGTTACTTGTACACAATTATGCAAGCCTACATGAAGAAACACTCTAAGAACACAAATAGAGGAGTGTGTATCTAATGCTAGCTTAAACCATAGACTGTATAAAAAAGATGGCCACAATGACGTCACTCAATTGAGCTAAGCATTTTCATCATCCTTTTTGACTCTAAGGGCAAGATTTACTAACGCACTGCCCCAGCATAAACTGGGTTTTGGTGTAAATTTTAAAAAGTACTGTTGGTATTTACAAAGAGTGACAATCATCCATAGAGCTAATCATGCCCTCACACGCTACTTTGTCCAAGGTAAGGCAAGGTACAATTTGTCGTTCCAATAAAACCAGTTTATGTTTATGATACATAGTCATATTTTCCTAGTAGGGAGTGATGAATAACTACATGTAACAAATGTTAGGAAGATGCGTTTGTTTTGTGTCTGAAAGAAACAAAATATTGTGCTGTATGTCACATTTTTAAATCACCAAATATCAACATCAAAATCGTATATTTTCTGACTTCTTCTTATCCCAATCAGAAATGCACCTCCTGCTGGTCATTGGAAAGAATGCAGGTTCAATGAATTGTAAAACCTCAGGAACCTTGGTTCATCTTTATATACAGTTTACTGATTTTAACTGCAGAGCAATCACATTATTAAGCAAACAAGTATGAGCTGAACCCTCTGAGCACTAAGTCCTTATAAATTCTCCCTTACGTCTTACTTTAAGACGTTCCCCATCACCATCAAGGAAAAGTGATTAGCAACAGAGATAATTTTCCGAATATTTAATTGGAATCCTGAATTTTGGCAGGAAATGGAAAAAGAAGAGAAAAAGAAGCACACACATGGCATGTCACTGCCATTGAATTTGCATGCATCCACCCGCAGAGGCAAACACACTTCTGCTGCTGTGGTAAAACCTGAGCCAAAACACCTACTCCTCAGCGTGCTCGCATCCAGGCTTTGTGCGCTCTGTTTACTAGGCTGAACTGTGGCCCACTTACCTGAATGGACAGACAGGACTTCCTTTCATGCTGTAGTGTTTGTGTGGTAATAACACAGTTAATAGCATAGCACCTGCACCCATTAACAATTACTGCAAAGGTTTAGAGGTTGGAAGGCCTCAGTGGCAAGCATGCTAACAACAGATGCATAAAGTGCCTGTGTTTTATGAAGAGTTCACAGTCTTTAATTAAGACAGCTCTTCACTCTAATCTGGCATGTTGTTTCCAGCTCACGCAGCCTTCAGCTGTAAAGCCACTGTCTTCTTAGATTCATAAGAAGGGTGGAAAAAAAGACTGTTACAGACCAAGAGTGGTGGAAATATTACGCACGTCTAGGCAGTAAAAGAAAAATGTCATTAGTGACAGATTTCCTGTCATTCTAAAACATATCTGAATATCTAGAAGTGTGACATTTTGCAAATCATGTCCCAGGTGGGACTGGGCACTTTGGTACACTGACCTTTTTGTGTTTGCATGTCAAATTGTCCAAACTCATGCATAAATTCATTACAGCTACATCGTGCCGCACCACAGATATGGAAATCCCCCACCCTTTCTTTCTTTTTCTTCCTTTCTCCACATATTGACTGACAAAACTTTGCAGAAGTTTGAAAATTCTGGATAAGACCAGGTCTGTGTGGGATTTAGCAGCTTAAATCTGCATACATTCGAGCTGAGAAGTTTAGCCTGGATTTGTAGATTTCTTCTAAGCGTTAGCTTGAGAGCCACTTTTGGGTTTCCTGTAAAAATGTAATACGTTAATCCCAAAAGAGAAATTAGAACAATGGACGTTAAAGGTCTTGAAGAAATTTGTGCCATTTGATTCTGTTTAGTTTCAGCAGAGGTGCAAGCACACTTTTTTTTAGTGTGTAATCGTTTTTTTTTTTTATCTTACATCTTAGCAGACAAGCATCAGCAGTAAGGTATCCAAAATTCCTATAAATTAAGCCATAATTCAGTGTCTAACCTCCATGTAAAGCTCAGCAGGTTTTTGAGCTTGTGAATGAAGGAAAAAAGGGAGAAAATCCTTCCTAAAGCACACAGTGCTAGATTCTTTCTTTACTGTAACGTGGTACAGATAATACTGCTGTCTGTGTCTGCAGAATATTACATTACATTAAACATTACAGTAACTTCCAGCGGTTTACAGCTCTGTGTGAGCTGTTTATATTGGCGGCTGTTTCCCTGCATTTCATTAAAGTGGAATTTAGACAGATCACTAGAGTCTGAGTCCTGTTTAAGCCTTGCAGAGACTATCTAATGGCGCCAGTTGGCACAAGCCAATGATAACACCTGAAATAATCAGTCACATCTAGACTATTAATTACACAACCCATATCATGATAAAACACTGCTGAGGGCAATATGTTCTACAGAGAGTCTGTTCTTTGTTTAAATTACCTTAAATAGGCCTCAACTGATCCTGCATCAATGCCTACAGCTGTCAAAGCCTTAAAAATAATACTTGGCACAGTCTGCACCCTACATTTATTTGCAGTCCAAATCAATTACACCCACTCCTGCAGAAATTTATCCTGACATGCATGATAATAGTTATTGGTAAGTAGAAGTAGTATTTACTGTGTTATTGTCGGGCAAGGCCAGACGGGTCATTTACAATCAACTATTGGCTCAATTCCTTTCCCACACAGTATCAACAACTAAAATAAATCACATTTAGAAGCAGTGTCCTTGATATTTAAAGAGATCAGAAGGCAGTGTTTGTTTTTCCAGTCTGTTCAAACCAACAGGAAAGATATAAGGAAATGAAAAAACTGTGTGTGTCTGCTTTAATATAGGCTAGTACAACCTTAACGTAATCAGCTAGCAAGTGATCACAGTATGTCACTTTAGAGGGAAAAAAGCTGACATCAATTCAATTCAGTTTTATTCATAATCAATCATGAATAATCAATTCATAATTGTCTGATCAAATTTACATTCCAACCACAGCAAAAAAACCCAACCTGCAGTACAAGGACAACGCAATTTCTTATCTGTTTTTTTGTTTTGTTTTTAAATAAAGCTTTAGCATCTTTCAGCATCATTAGCCAGAAAAGTACGAGTTGGAAGATTCTTTTGCAAAGATTTGTCTTAGAAGTTTGTGAAGTGTGCTGAATTAGTTTGCTAGCTAAAGCTGATTACGCGGAAGCAGCTACAATATATATATTTGACCATTTCATTTATGTTTATATTTATTAACAGTTCCATGTGGAAATGTCACCACAACAGTAATAGATGAAGAGTACAGTGACTGGAACCATTATTTATAAGGGTAGAGGTGATTAATGGCTTCTTTGTTAGTAAATTCATACGTGGCCATCTTTATCAGATCAGTTATAAACTCTGAACAAGGCGCTGCCATTTACAGCTGTGTGACCCTGTCACATCAGAGCATAAATATATATAAATATGCAATGTATATATATGTGCTACTGCACAGTGACCCAACACCATGCTCATTTCAAATAAACTCCCACACAGCCCTGCACAGCATAGAAAGACTTACCTCTGTTCTTTATATCACCAGTGAATGTGCTAACAGCTGTGCAGCAAGGTGAGAAAAGTGTGAGAAAAAATGTTTCAGTCACAGCTTTTGAACATGTGTGCTCACTAATGATACATTATAAATGTATACTTACATTTTTGAGAACCAGTGTGCAACTGGCACGTCTTTCTGTAGCACAAAAGTTGCAATTGTTAGCAACAAACTAACAGGGAAGCATCGCCTCACTTCAGTTTTTCATGACCTTTACGAGCATTCTTCATTTACCATTCATCTGTTCATTTATTCTGCTTTATCGTGCAGGTATTTTTAATTTAAAACTAAAAATCTGTGATAGTCCAATGTGCAACGTACACAACCAACAGCACCCAAACAAAATTAGTTTGGGGTTTTTCAGAATTTATCTACACAGCCTGATATTTTCAGTAGGAGCTGGAACAGAAACAAAAAGAGCTAAAAAAGAAAGCGAATATTGGACATGCATCAGACTGTTGCACACAAAGAGAAGTTTACTAGCATATTTATGTTAATGAGTCAACTATATACAAGTGGACCTAGTGCCTAAAAATGAATGCTTTTAGTGTAGGCGATTTATAAAACGTTTACTTTCAAATGCCAAAAAATGCAGAATTGCACAGCTGATTTTAAATATACGCTAAAAGATTGTCCTAGTGTGTTGACATTAACAGAAGTAAACAGCTGTTTGCATTTATTAAGTGTAAAAAAACCTGCTGTTATTTTAAATGACATGAAGAGCCGTTTTTTTGTTTTGCTTTTTTTTTTTTTTTAATGGAAAATGGCACCACGTAATAATATTTTGACTTTCTCTTTCTTTCTTTCTTTCTTTGATGGCTGGCTGACATTTTGTTTCTGATTCTACCTTTAAAAGAAAAAAAAAAAAGAAAAAGCCCCAAACACATGAACGCATTAACATTTAAAATCACATCAGAGCATAAAAACTGAAATGGGTGTTGACATATAAAATAAACACAAAATTATGGATCCTAAAATCAAAAAACTCCAGAATCGATAAAGAAAAAATGAGAATGGAAACGGTGGGTGGTTCGGTGCAGCTGTGTGAAAAATAAGAAAGGCGAGGATGATGACTTCCCAACCACATGATAGTCTCAGATCAATCAAGAGATTCCTCAAGTGGCTGGCTCACAAAGGAAGGGCGGATAAGACTCTAGTAGCAATCAGCAGGAGCAGAGACGGGTATAACACTGGTTAATTGAATTTGAAAAGTAGTAATACATAAAGGTTTAATATTCCAGGCTGCTGGTTTTAAAATAGAAAAGTACAGAGAAGCATGACTAACAAAACCAGGCAAACTTTTGATGTCATTTTATTTCAAAACATCCTCAAGACTGCACAGAAGCATAAGGTAGGAAAAACCAAACGAACAGGACAGAGAGACGGTTCTTCTTAGAAGAAAATACCTCAACGGGTCATAGGACGGGGTATGAGTGGTACTTGGTGATGAAACTTTGATTATTCAGTTGGCAGTTCATAAGTTTCAGATCTCTTCTTCAGGGAATCAGCAGCTCTCTTAAAATAATAAACAGAAAGGCAGAAAACAATCCTGCTTTGGCAGAAAGCCTGCAGGGGAACTGAAAAACCCTTAAAACCAGCGATTAAGATGGTGCAGGAAAAAAAGACATTTCTGTAGAAAACAGGATAAAAACACAAGGGTGCGTAACAAACAGGAAAGCACAGAGGGAGACCACATGTGGCTCTTTTTTCCCCCTGTTGCACCATCAGCAAGTCAATACTTGAAAAAAAAACGGAGAAAATTGAAGATATTGACCGAGCAGCTACAGAATACCAATGTAAAAATCCATGTAAAAGCTCTTTTTCCTTCCCCTTGTTCTTAATTCCTGCCTATTCTGCCTCTTTGTTGCAGGGCCTATCGGAACCAGTGGGCAGTGCCGTCATCCATCATCCGTGGTTGCCTCATGGCAGGGCAGGGTCAGAGATGGCGTGTGCAGGGTCGCAGGTGAAGGACACAGTGATGGCGTAGCGTGTCCCCCACATTACCTTCTCCACGCGGTGGAGGTTCTCTGAGCCAGAAGAGAAGAAAGAAACTCTCCCTAAGGGTGGGGACAAAAGGAACAAGAGGAACTCTTTAGGAGAGAGGAAATGTAAAAGCTGTTCAATATTTACCGATTCAGATCCAACACGCACACAGCTGGTGTTACCATGTGTTGAACAAGGCTTTTAAAGTCAGAGAAAACCTCTATTAATCTCATGGTCGGTTGTTACATCAGAGGTATTGGCAAGGCAGAGATACGGCACTTGACGAATAGAAATCTTGAAGCGAAATCTATTGGAGAATGCTGTAAACCCAACTATAGAAGCTGCCAACTATGCCTCTTTTACGAGATGCGATCACAAAGTTCTGGGATTACACTTCTACAAATCAAAAACAGCATTAGATTTAAATGTAGACGATCTGTCCTTCAAGGGCATCTTCTCGTATATCTCTGGACTAATTTAAGCGCCTCTGTGCGCACGCTGGATCCTCCGCTGTGTCAAAATGACGATCAACTTGAATTAAATCATAGGTGTCAAACTCTGGCCCGCGAAGCCATACCAAATTACTATTAGAGCTGGCCTACTGGTATTATACAGCTAATACATATATATTTTTTAGTTTTAAGCTTTGCTTGTTCCATATTCAGTTTTTCAGCAAAACGTGTTTGAGTCCATAAGAAAAGATTCATTCTTATATCTGGAGCAATAAATATATTTCAATAAATATTAACGTTAGCCCGCGACTTTGTTCCAGTTTTGAATTTTGGCCCACTGTGTATTTGAGTTTGACACCCCTGAATTAAATTGTATGAAAGTGGGGGAAGTTGCAGGAAGATAAATCTGGCGGTGAGGCAGGTGGTGAGAAACGATTATGCTGTCGTGGCCACAAACCTGTAGCATTTTTCATGAGCCGTGGGGGCTCACAGACACACACGGCAGTGCAGGTCATTCCAGCTCAATATTCTCTCACAGATACTTCATAGCTATAAAGGAGAACTCTGCGCTGACAGCTCAAGCCCCGCCCACCCCCAAAACCCCCCAGCAGGTATGCTCCTGTTTATAAAACTTAGGTGATGTGCTGTGCTGGAAACTGGACATTTCAACAAGAGAACGAGAGGGGAAAAGAACATGTAGTCCCTGTATCATAATTCAATACAACAATGATCCTCTTCAAGAAAGAGTTTTCAGTTTGACACAAGCTGAGGTTTGCTCTCTGTGCACACTTGAGTCGCTGAACTTGGATTATGGTGAAATCACAGAACGCACAATGTCGTTTCCAGGGATTTATATCAGCAGCACTGGCAGCTGTTCAAAGGTGTATGAGAAGATGACTTTAAAGTCAAACTAATATAAAAAAAAAAATGTTAAATTTTTTTAATTATGATCACATCTCATCTCAACAGTCAACCTAGGAAACATAAACAAGTTGACTGGTTTAAACCGTCATAGTAAAGATGATGATGGTACGTCTGCTTGTTTTTAATGGCTGATCATTCACATGATTAGCATATTAACATTCATTACAGAGCAATGCAGGGTAAGAGAAGTGATTGTATCAGAAATCTGGATTGAGGTGTAGATGAAACTTGGGGCATGTGTACTAGAAATAAATCTAGTTTAAAAAAAAAAAGATTTTTAAAACCTCTTTCTGGTGAAAAGTCAGCAAACTTTTTAAATGATTCTTATGAGATTTAACTGGCTGCAAACATTCAGTTTTTATGAACTACTGATCATGTATATAAATTTATGGCCTCCCTAACCTTCCTTCAGATACGTATCTGGTCTTAACCCAAAATAAATGCCTAAAGGGAGTATCAAGTGGCAAGACATCAAGAAAGGTTGAAAACAGAGTTTGTGCTTGGGTGACCAGGCTAAAAACCCAGAGTCAAACTGTATTGAATGAATATGATAAAAAAAATTAAATTGCTGATACTTTCGTGCATACTGAAATTTTCTTTTATATTGTTGATTTATAAAAAATGTTTAAAATATGAGGCATGTGAACTATTATTGACTTCTAAAGTGGGACATAGTGGAAGTAGTTTGCAAACGATTGGTTTAACCTGTTCACTGAGAACACAGTCGTCCCTGGCAGAGCCCGACCAGAGATTTTTAACACTAATATTTGGTGATTTTAAAATCTGGCATTCTGAAATAAAGGCTGATCGTTTTAATAAATTCCGATATCGATATTTCAGCAAAATGTTAATATCAGCCAATAATATCAACTCGCTGGTAAAATGGTAAGGGTCTCGAGACAACTCCAACTCTAACACCATAGAAGCAGAAGTTTAATTGACTTGATGATAGCTTACTAAACAGCTATGCTGTTCATAGAGAAACTGCTATAACATCCAATTTGAAAGTGTTGGTATGCACTTTTTAAAAATTATTGTTATTATTTTAACCTTTCGACAGATTATACCTTGCTTATTAACCATGCTTCCAGGTTTAGCCTAATATAGCTTATAAGCGTTAAAACAGTTCAAACACTCCCCTAAAACTCTCACTACAATCACAAAAGCTGGATGTTTATTTCGAGCCAAACTTGCTGTTTTGTAGTTATTATGCAAAGCAAGGTAAACCATGTCCTCCCTCTGTCTGGTTGTAATATTTTCCTTTCATTTGCAAAAAGAAAGTAAATAAGGTGAAGCTATTATTTATTTATTTATTTTAAAAAAAAAAGTATTTGCAATGATGGTGGAGTCAAAAACCATTGATAAGGGAAGCGAACACAAAGACAAGCAGTTGGGAGCAATTTACTTATTCTAGGGTTTCATTTTTTGGACTGAAATGCATTTCCTTTGACTGAAAAGGTTTTTTTTCATTAAATAAACAAACAGTCTGAGTCTGGTGAGGTTTCCTCAGGATAAATTTTCTTCACTTATCAGAAGCTCTGCGTCACCAGGTCATCTCATGAACTACTACCAGTTACTAGCCAGTGTTGTTTTACCTGTGCTCTGTGTTAGATAAGACATTTCCATTCAGTTTGGAAAGTTTAAGCAGCAAGCCCACAGTTGTAGATTTTTATTCAGAATTCTTTCTGACTCTTGGTTTGCTAATAAACTTACAGTGTCTCAAACCTTTTGAAGAGAATATCTCATTATCTTATGCCATGAATAAACAGCTGGAATCACTGAGCCCCCATTCTGCTGCTATAATTTCCCTTACAGGCGCTTTATACATTTGTGTGTCTTTGTGTGTCTGTGTAAGAGAGTTTGGATCTCCCTGGATAGCATTAGCTGACGACATCAGAGGTGCTCGCTGTATAACAACAGAATTTATGCTGCAAACTCTGAGAATAAGGGAAAAAGGAGAAGGATAATAATAATAGATAATAATAGTAATTCAAAATGCAGTTTTGAAATTTGATAATTAGGGGAAAAAGCATTTTGAGAAAAAAATAATTGCCCCCTACCCCTAATAACTGCGCTACCAGTTATTAGGGGTAGGGGGCAATTATTTTTTTCTGTTGGCAGCATGAACTGAAATTGAGCACTTAAGATAACTGGCAATGAGTTTTTCACCTCACTGTGGAAGAGGTGAAAAACTCAAGCCCACTCTTCTTTGTTTGAATTCAGCCACCCTGGAGGTGGTTGTTTGAGCATGTACGGCTTGTTGAAGGTCATGTCAAAGAATCTCAATCAGATTGGAGACCGGACTGTGACTGGGCCACTTCAAAACCACAGTTTGTCATTTAGAGCCATTCAGAGATGGCC